TTAAATCAAACCTGCTGTTATCACCTCTCTGCTTTGAAGCGGATAAATAATGTACACTGTCTTAAAATAGGTAGTGAGAGACAGAGGTTTGGTTTCCTCTCCAGAGACATGAACCAGTTTAAAGCTCTGTGTTAAAGGACATAAAGTGACATTTCAGACAAAATTATCCAAGATAAAAAACTAATAAATGTAGTAAAATAGTAGAGTATATATTATTCAGGGTTTGTACATATTTATATAAATCCAGCGATGTGCGTGTGTGTGTGCCTTCTTGTGTGCGTATATGAATGTGTGAGAGTGCATCATTTGTATTGTATATACACTATAGCCAGAGGGAGTCTGATAGAAATAAGTTGCTTTGTTAGGGCTTTTCTAAACCTCAAGGTCAAAAGAGGTAATATGGATAAACACAGCGTAGGCGAATCTCCACTTAAAAGCAGAGAACACAAACAAGGTCACAACTGGAGAATAGTAAGAATCAGGAACACAGTCAGGGGTTGAGAGTAAATTACGAGCAAGCAGGAAAACACCGGGACTGTTTATACAGGCTGTCATTAGGGCTGTGGGATATGAACAAAATACTATATTGTGGTTATGACTGTATTAGAATTAGTGTTATTTTAAAAACACACAGAGGAAACCCTAATGTGATATTGAAGGAAATTTTAAAAATGGCTTGCATTATTTTTCGCCAAACTTGACTTGTGTGATTGATAAGATCACTTACTAAAATTTGGATTACTACCTGGATTAGACCTGCTGGGTTTTAATTAAAGAACGGCACGTCATACTTTTTATCTGTTTATAGTTACATTGAACAAGTTGTTTTCCGTTATCATTTATGATATACCGTCTATAAACTGCCATGTACCAGCCTGTCTGTTTTTTCTCTCTCCTGACGTTAATAAAACAGACAAAAAAAATGCAGGTTTTCATATTACCAAGAAATAGCACAGTGCAAAGTCCTCTGACTTTTCCTGAGTTGGAAAATAGAACAGCTTTACCTGTGACTGTTGCACTGACACTGGAGACTCCTTCCAAAAATGTACTCCTCACAGAAAACTTTTTTTAATTATAATGCATGCTGTTTTTTATCACTTCAATCTTCCGTGCCATGATTTATTGAAACAGCTACAGAAAATGCATCTTCAATCTTGTGAAGTGGATTAGAGTGTGAAACGACCCACAAAGTAAAATGTGTGTGTGTGCATTAGAAGCTTACATTGTACAGTGTTTATGTGCTTTGTATAAGTGTTGTCATGCTGGTTCCTGAAATGCTGGACAGTTTTATTCTACAGGTTTTTAACATCAGAACTGTTAAATGTGTCTTTGTGTTTTTGTTTGTTTGGGTCATCTCTGTGTTTACAGCCAGGCCTCCGGAAAATATCATTTAGCCAGATAATATATAGCATTCTAACTTAGAAATTGCTGGCCCCACCTTTAATATAATAATGTGTGTGCATACTGTATGTGTGTGTTTTTAACTGCCTAGGTAGTGTTACAAAAGCTGAAGATCGACAAACAGATTTTACTTTTGGTGCCAAAAGATGTCACCTGTGCTATATCATTGTACTTGGGAGGAGATGGATAGAATTGAATTTGTTGTGAGTTGGACTAAATTTGTATATATACATTTGAAATTGATACTTATTATAGCAGTGGTAGTTCTTTTGTCCTTTTTTTCCTCTGAATTTGAGAGCCATTTCTCTTGTTACCTGAGTCATTTTTTTAGTACAGTGTTTGGCTGCTCTATCCACCTCTGCTTGGTCACAGAGTGTGGGCGTTCAGAGAGGGAATCTCTACATGCTTCATTATGCCAAGGGGTATGTGTGTGTGTGTGTGTGTGTGTGTTTGCAAAAAGGTGGGAGCTGTCTGACTTTAAGGGGTGAGCAATGGGTGTGTGTGTATGTGTGTGTATTTGTGTGTATGTGTGTGTGTTTGCAGGTGTCGTTTATGCACTGTGATTATCTCCAGGGATGTGTTCCAAAATTGAGTGATTTGAGGTCTTTCCTTCTGTTTCTCAGTTGTGTGTGTGTGTGTGTGTTAGTATGCGTGCGTGCGTGTCTGTGTGCGTGTGCATATTTATGTGTGTCTGCATTTAAGTGTGTGGGAGCTGGAGAGCCACATAACTGACAAGTGGAAAGGGAAAAATCACTCATGGCAGAACGACTCCAGCGCACCAGCAGTTTTTCTGTGCTTCTTATTACAGCCAGTCACATCAATCTTCCTTTTTTTTACTGGATTCACTGAACCGAGACATAATTTCAGTGGAGAGAATACGGCTTCTCTGCTCAGTAGAGGCAGGATTGTGGTGCCACTATGACATAAGTGGCACAAATGTCTCTAGTGTAGGCCACGTACCTGAATTATGCACTGCATTATGCTATCTAAAGGTGCTTTTGTTCTAGTTTTGTATTTCTTAGCATTCAAAGCTGTGTGACTAATTCTGCCTAGAAGCAATGATAAAACTACAGGCCTAAATGTACCTGTACAATGTTTCTTATACAATTCTATTCTGGATGTTGTGCGTCTGAGCTGGAATCAGTCCACATGTTTTAGGATTGTAGATGCATGTTTTCACCTCAAGGCAATCATCTACTTAATTAAAATCCCCACACAGTTTTGATGAGCCAGGACTTACCGCTGTGAGTCCAACATTTTCTCGCTGCACACGGTGTGAACATGAAATTGGTCCACACAACTGAGTTCCACAGTCAACTTACATGCTATCCAGGCATCACTTTTGTGTTGGTCTAGACGCATGTTTGGACTTATCTTATTGAAAAAACAATTTATGGTAAAGTCTTAACCTCCTGGCAGAGGAAACCAAGATTTGAGCTTAGCAAATTTTATGTTGTCATCAATCTTCAAAAAAGCCCCCACACCAGTCACAAAATAGCCCCAAAGCAACAGTAATCCACTTCATTATTTTACATTGCGTCTGCTGATTTTTCCTTGTATACAATTAGGCTTGTGCTGGTAACAGAATAATCGTATTTGGGTAATTGCATGGAAAATAACCACCATAAATAGTTAAACCGGAGGGGAGGCGGGAGGGAAGTATTTGACACAGACGTTAATGGAGACGAAAGCTGCGATTTTGTTTTTATTTTGCTTTACATTTTATTTTTTACTTTAAGTGTTTACACATAGCAATAATAATAATGATAAATAATACAAATGCTATCAAAGAGTGGCATTAAGAAAATTCAATTTAACTTGTTTGTAGCTTGTTTTACTTTATATTTAAACACAAATTGCCAGAATATTAATACAATAAAGATTACAAATTACTTTTTTGTACTTTAGGTCAAAATTTAGACTGTGGTGAGTGAGGCGAAAGGAAGTGCACATGTGACTGTGCTCTCATGCTCTGTATTACAAATTACACCATAGACTGAGCTTTGAGATGACAAAGATATGCACAGTTGGTTTGATTTATGTTCACATAACCTAGGCTACTTAAGATGCATTTTGTATAGGCTAGGAATTATATCTGCCTACCGAAATGGCATCCAGTGAATGGGATCTAATCAGTTGAAATATCAGCTAAAGTGAAATTCTGACACTGTGAACTTTTGAAACTTTTTTAAAACATTATGGTGCTGATTGTGCTTAATGGTATTTTACATCCTTTTTTGCATCCATTACCTGTGCGGTTCAACTTTCTGCCAGAGCTTCTAGATACTTTATAAACATTGTAAACAATTATAAATATAGGATTTTGAGAATAAAGGTATAAAGAATAATAAAAAAAAAAGCTTAAAAGCTTCTGTTACATATAGTTGCTGTAAAAACTCTAGTACTTGCCTTTTAATTGGCTTGTACCCTTACACCTGAATACATTATATACATATAATTGATATGCCTATGTGTTATACCTATATAATGTGACTGTGACTGGTAAGGGAATGGTGGGCGAAGTCTTGTCTCCAGTCGACCAGAGTTAATAGTTACAGTATAAAAACTGCTCATTACAGTACTGTTCATACATGACTGCCAACTCGAATTACATTTGTTTTTATGCAACTTTGTTGAGTAAGGGCCAGTATGACTTATCACCAGGAATCTGGAGTAAATATCAGGATTCATGACTCTACTAAATCGTTGATGAATAATATTAGCTTGCCTTATTTCTTGTTCATTCAGTTCCATTAAACTAAATTCACTAATTTATGAGTTTAAGGTATATTTTAAAGAATCTTTAAATGGTAAAACATAAACTAATGAAAAAAAAACCTAATGAATGTGATTACATTTTGCATAAAAACAGTCAATGTAAATATAAGTGTATAATTATAATTATATATAACTCATTTCAGTAGAGTCCACTGTAACAATGCCATAACAATTCTATGGTGCTACATGGGGGAAAATCCTATTAAACCCTGTTTCATCATTATAATCAAAGTAATATTTGGAAAAATAAAATTGGAAATGCACTCTGTGCACAATGGTGAAATCTGTGAACAATGGTGGACTGATTATTCAGTATACGCCTTTTAATAATGAACAGCTTGTGCTTCGTGATTTAATCTCAGTCCATTGCAGCATTGTTTTGTTCCAGATTTTAAAAATGTGATGAGAGACCTCATGAAGAAACGTTATTACAAATCATACAAAAATGTTCGTATTTAGAGCATGTTTGTATCTTAGAGAAAATGTTCGACTTTTTTTTTCGAATATTCCGCAGTATATTGTATAGATAATGCTTCCAAACAAAGCATCACAAGTAATACATAACACAGAAAATATTTTTAAAGGCCAAATGTCCAATAGTGAAAGCTCTCTAAAAGAAATGTCATTTGGTTATTGTGTAATATGGGAATTTTACTACCATGTCCGTTTATATGCATAAGCCTGTGGGCCTAATTTATATACCTCATATGTTGTCGTGAATATTTAATGCCTACAGGTGTATAATGCCCATATTAGTGTCAGCAATGTGTGTAACGTTATTATGAATAGTTTTATGTATAGTATAAACTCAAGTACATGGGTCCCTGGAGGACTAGTGGTAAGGCCTTGGTGGTCTCACCGCCGCGGCCCGGGTTCGATTCCTGACCAGGGAACCAACCACAGCCGCTGGGGCTGCACAAGACAGTGTACTCCCAGTGCTGGTCCCAAGCCCAGATAAAATTGGGGAGGGTTGCAGCCTGCTATCACAGGACCAAAACCTGAACCTTTAGCAAAGTACATAAAAGTAAACATACATACATAAACTAGAACCTAAGAGAATGTAACGGGTTTACACTACTGACTAGGGGACAACATAAACAAGACAACAAACCACGATCAGAAGCCCAGCCATTTACGCTGTCTTCTATGTACATGTAGTGTACAGGTCTAGACAAGAGTAACTCGTCTTGACAGCAAGAGCAAAATACTGATAATTGCTATCTTCTAGCTATAGATAAAGTCCTTAGTTGCAGTCCTTGTGCTTGGTTAGGCTTTTATATAATAATCTATAAAACATCATACACAAGTGCATGTAGACAAAAATAAAAAAAATTGTACTTGCTGATATAAAGGAGAACAAACACACTATTAATCTATAAAGCCTCATGCAATTATAGGCGATGAAAAAAATACTATATAAGTCAGAACGTCACCTGGTCTTTAGCTGTCCATTTTTGATGAATGTGTGCCCACTGTCGCCTCAGAGTCCTGTTCTTGGCTTACAGGAGTGGAAGTCGATGTGGACTATTACTGTTGTAGCCCATCTGCTTTAAGGTTTGAAATGTTGTGCATTCTGAGTTGCTTTTCTGTTCACCACGGTTGTAAAGTGTGGTTAAATGTGATTAAATGCTGGTGTTGGTAATCAGGAGAGGCGGAGAGTTGGATGCACGTATGCTGCCGGAGCAGCCGGAGCTGGATCTGTAAGTAAAACGTAAAGTAGAATGGTCTTTAGTAGTTGATGATAAGTACATACATATCACACTATGCAGCACACTTACAGCACACCAACAAGAAATACTAGCATCATTAATCTGTGTTTGTCCTCCCTTATAATATCAGCAAATGTCATTTTTGATGTTCGTCTACGTGTTAATCTGGAGGTGTTTAGCCTTCCTCTTATGCCTGTATGAGTCTGGAGGTGTTTAATGAGCGCGTGTGAGTGTGATGGCTGATGGGAGGTGAGTGCTCGGCTAGCTGCGCGGGGCACTTTGAGTGGTTCGTCATCCGCTACAGTCTAGACTAAAGGCCACATTAGTCACTGATGTACTGTACAGCAAGTAGGCGGGCAGCAGAAAGCCTTGCCGTCAGGAAAAGAAGAAAAAAAACACACAGGCTAGGGCACGATCATGTAACGAGGATGTTCTGTCAAATGATTAAATCAACACACTGTGTCATCAAGGCAGGTCTCCTCCTCTAAATCAAATTTAACAGACTTCATGTGGTGTGAACATTGATCAAGGCTTACTGTGATTGCACCATCACTGCCTGGATTATTTTAACTCACTGTTACCATGACTGTGAATATCATCTCATCTTTAAAGGAGCTTTTTTTGCACTATAGGCTTCATTAAATATCTATATTATACACTCACCAACCGATTTATTGGGAACTTATGTACACCTGCTTATTCATGCAATCACCTGGTCTTTTTCCAATTTCCAACGATCCAGTTTCACAGTTCCTGTGCTTACTGTATCCTCAGATACCTCTTCTTAGCTGACAGGAGTAGAACCTGATGTGGTCTTCTGCTTTTGTAGGCCATCCACCTCAGAGCTCGATGTTTTGTGCATTCTGAGATGCTTTTTAGCTCACAACAGTTGTAAAGAGTGGTAATTTCTCCTCTGACCTCTCTCATCAGCAAGGAGTTTCCACCCACAGAACTTCCTCTCACTGCATGTTTTTTTTCCACCATTCTGTGTAAACTCTATGAAAATGTTGTGTGTGAAAATCCCAGGAGATCAGCAGTTTTTGAAATACTCAATCCAGCCCAACAACAACATCATAGTCAAAGTCACTGAGATTACATTTTCCCCCATTCTGTTGTTTGAGGTGAACATTACCTGGAGCTCTGCATGATTTGACCTGTATCTGCATGATTTTTTGCATTGCCTTGCTGCGACATGATTGGCTGATTGAATAATTGCATGAATGAACAAGTGTACAAGTGTCCCTAATAAAGTGATTGGTGAGTGTATAAACGCATCATCAGTGCAGTGTGATGATTCTATGTGTCCATGTGAAATTTTCTGGCAGTGCTGCAAATGAGCTCTCAAGCCGTGCCCTGACAATTAAATTAGCTGACACTGTTGAAGCCCTGGCTTCAGGGGGAAAAGAGAGAAGGAAACTGTTTGTGTGTGTCATGGTGCTCAGTGCAGTGTGAAGAGATGCAGTCTCAGGGGCTAGATTCGAGAGGAGAGTGGAGGATTTAGTGCTCTTATGCGACCAGACAAGCACTGGTAATGCAGATCCTCATGGTAATCTTAGAGAAATACATTTTCCACCACAGTGTTTTGTAATGCAACAGCAGGGGTATTAGAAGCAACAGGTTGGTGTTCTGTGCGCAAATCCGTTTTCCAGCAGTTTAGTTATTTAGCGTCTAGTGGAAATACATCAACCAAAATCATTTTCTACTTTAATACTCTGCATATCCACAATGTTCTGTATTTCAATCTCATGCAAAAGCATGTTCAAAATAATCAAAATGTACTGAACGTATGAGCAAAATAGTGCTGTGGAGTCATGAAACACCCCATCAGAGAAATTATGTAATCACAGGCATGCTGAAAGGCAAATACCAAAATGATCAAATAATAATCCTGTTTCATGATCAGGCATAAGGTGCAGATTCACAGTTCAATCCCCAAAATGTGTAAATGCTTTCTCTGAGACATCACCCTGATATTTTAGGCACTTCATGATGATTGCTCGGCAATTCTCAGCTAAGCAATTCCACGCCAAATAATTAGCTGCATTCACACATCTGTTTAATATTCTGTGTTCACCCACTGTCTTTTTTTCCCTCTGATTTGAGTGCAGTAGTTTTAATAAATGCTCGAACCCGTGGATTGACAAATATGATTAATTATGCAAGCTACATGGTTTGCTTTTTAATACATAAGTTTTGGACTTTAGATACTTTGTTTATTTTGGTCTCCTTTGGCTTTTTCTGTCCTTATATGTATGCATTATTAGTAGTTTTCTGTCTGTTCACTCTCTTTTAATTCCTCTGTGTCTTCAGGGAGGCTCAGCATGTGTGTGTGCAGTGGCTATAAAACCACACACTGACATTACAGTCCCCTGTTGGCTGATGATTTGTAAGGGATTTTAGTGTCGCCAAGTTGAAATTAAACCGTTTTTATACCTTATGGCTAAATCTTAAGGCGTTCTTTTTCAAAACGTTGCAGTAGATATGTTGTATAGCTAATAAACAAACAACAAACAAACAAACAAACAAATAATAAATAAATAAAGTACAGAACACTTTGCTCAAGAGCCAAAGCAGTACATATTACAAAACTTTCCCTAGAGCCCTAATCAAATTTTACGCTTGTGCCTTGGCTATTCATTTGCATATTCCTCATCATAACACATTTAGAGCTTTATTACCAGGTGAGTTTAAGTTGTTATGAGTTATATAACAACATAGGAGCTCCAGGTTAGAGCTTCCCTAAAATCCCATGAAGAATATTCCCCACTTTTGTAACTGTAAACATTTCCTATTAATTTTACTGTAGTTGCTGAACTGAATAATATGCTTATAAGTTCGATTAGCAGCAGTAGAAAGACAAAATGCTACTGAGATCTTTCTAAAAAAAAATACAACAGAGGACGTTTTAGATGTTTGAAATTGTCTGTAAACTTAGTGCTAAAGGCTGCTGATATACAATCCAATTGAAACAAATGTCACCCAATCAAGCAGCTGCTATCTAATGAGACATCTGCAGAAATGGATGTGAAACTAAAGCTTGAAAATAGAAATGATGGATTAGCTCATAAAAAGCTGAGGCCTTAGACAACTTGGGTCATCCATCTAGTCATGGCATGTCATTTGGTAAAGCTGCAACTAATATCTGGTTTCTGATTTTCTGGTTTCATGATTAAACTTTCCTTACACACATTTACAATATTCTGCCTTGGTTTTACTATGGTGCTTATTGTAGATATAGTTATTAATTCTGGACTAGTATCATGATTTTACTGTGGTAATACAGTAACAGTAGTTTTTTAATGGTAACTGGTTATTATACACTGATCAGCCATAACATTAACATGGATTATCTGTTATATCTATGAATAACATTGATTATCTCGTTAAAATGGGCAAGTGTAAGGATCTGAGTGACTTTGCCAAGGGCCAAATTGTGATGGCTAGATGACTGGGTCAGAGCATCTCCAAAACAGCAGGTCTTGTGGGGTGTTCCCAGTATGCTGTGGTTAGTACCTACCAAAAGTGGTCCAAGGAAGGACAACTGGTGAACTAGCGACAGGGTCATGGGCGCCCAAGGCTCATTGATGTGCGTGAGGAGTGAAGGCTAGCCCGTCTTGTCTGATCCCACGTAAGAGTAACTATAGCACAAATTGTTGAAAAAGTTCATGCAGGCTATTATAGAAAGGTGTCAGAACACACAGTGCAGTGCAGCTTGTGGCGTATGGGGCTGAGTAGCCGCAGACTGGTCAGAGTGCCCATGCTGAGCCCTGTCCACCACCGAAAGCACCTACAATGGGCACGTGAGCATCAGGACTGGACCATGGAGCAATGGAAGAAGGTGGCCTGGTCTGATGAATCACATTTTCTTTTACACCCTGTGGATGGCCAGGTGTGTGTGCGTTGCTTACCTGAGGAAGAGATGACGCCAGGATACACTATGGGAAGAAGGCAGGCCGGTGGAGGCAGTGTGATGCTCTGGGTAATGTTCTGCCTGGAAACTTTGGGTCCTGGCATTCATGTGGATGTTCCTTTGGCACATACCACCTACCTAAACATTGTTGCAGACCAAGTACACACCTTCATGGCAACAGTATTCCCTAATGGCAGTGGCCTCTTTCAGCAGGATAATACACCCGACCACACTGCACAAATTGTTCAGGAATGGTTTGAGGAACATGACAAGG